TGTCTAGGGACTGTCTTGAATAAATATTTCTAAAAATCTAAGTTGGTCTCCACTATTCCTGCTGATGTAAATTATAGCTCCCTGAGTACTGAATTCATTTGTCTGAGTCTGTCTGTGGGGCATATGCAAATTTCAAGCTCTGATTTGTTCTTTTACTGAATCTATCATTTATAGAGCATTCAATTGGGAGTATAAATAAAATTACACAACTCTACATCTGCTGGTATACTTTTCTGTTTCTGTGTTAGACTACATTATGTAGTCTGTTTAGAGTTTTTATTCTGAATTAATACATGTATATAGAATTTTAAAATCTTTAGAGTTTATTTGTACTACTACAGGCAAAAATATTTTTCTATAAGTATCATTTAGTCATCTTAAGTTGATAAATGTGAGCTTTTGATTGTGCAGAGAGACAGATGATTTCTGCTGTGGGGTAGGGAAGATGAATAGCAGTCTAAACTGTATCTTCCAGCCCCAGATAATAACTATTTGCAGATTTTGATAGAATTTGTATTTAAGTATTTTATTGGTATTTGTTGCCAAATTGGAATCAGCTCCTGAAGCTGCTGTTTTTATAGTATAGTATAGTCCTTATTTTACTTATATGAGCATCTACTCACATCCAAGAGGAATAAGTTAACCCAGACATGCACTTTCTAAGGTCACATGATTTTGTGCTTCTTAGATTATTTTCTAACCTTTTTGGTTAGAAAATAAGTTTGAAAATATTTGCTCAGCATAGTCATGTAGGAAGCATCTGCTCTGGTAGCCTCTGTAAACATAAGATAGGCCTTGTTGATGAACTCAGGCATTGAATGTGTTAGTGTACCTTAAGCTTGTCTATTTGAAAATAGAAACTAAAGGTGAAAAGTACATCAGGTGTTTATTTTTTTCTCATATTTGTGCTGAGCTGAGTAATAGACAGCAGTAAGTTGTGTACTGGAGGGAATTTAGGTGACATATATTCATATATGGAAAAAAATTTATTCATTTTCAAGGTCAAGAAGCTACTCTGTGGATTTAGTGATTCTGACAGTGGTACAATGCTCTGGCCTGTCCACTTTTTTCTATTTCCTTTGAACATTTTATTTGCTTTTACAATTACTTTGACTGGCTCAGTTTACACACACATTGAATATCTTTGACATTTCCGTTTGTATTATTTATTATAGTATCTTCTGTTAAGTTTTTACCTTCTAGACCATCCTGTGGCAGACATTTGCCTTGCTTTTTGTAATTGGGTAGTTGGTCTCAGTTATTATACTATTGGTGTCTTGGAGTAATCTTCAACTATACTAAATCCTGAAATGGATCCAGACCCTTTCACCCCTCCAGGGAGAAGTTATATTGTTCAAGATACTGTTTGTATGTTAGAACTTTTTTTAAAATATTTTTTTAATTGTAAAAATAGTATACAGAGGGGTTACAGTTACATGAGTAAGGTAATAAGTACATTTCCTATCTAGCATTGTTATCTCCTCCGTTGTTTCCCCTACCATCCCTTCCCTCCCTACCTTCTCAACTCCTCCCTCCCTCCCCCACAGAAGTTGTAAAGTTCATTTTCAATATAGTGTCTTGTACATCTCATTGTAACAATGGGTTAACTTATATCCCTATTTAAGCATTTTGTTTTTTCCCTTCCCCTTCCCAAATTAGCAAAGGGTATATACAAGATGCAGGACACCAGAATCAAATACAGTGAAAACAGGGGTTATACCATGGGGAAAGAACATATAAAAGAAACAACAAAATCACATAGTACAATATAAGTACAGTGTTAGAATTTTTTTAATGATTGGGAAGAGAGTCTAGAGATGTGTCTTTAAATATACTTATTTAATGTGAAAATCATGGACAGTTTATATATAAAGATGCATGTGAACCAAGGAGGGGACCATTTTAGAGGCAATTGCATTTTATACTTTAGTTTACTGGTTATATGTGGTACCTTTAAGAAGACAAGTCCTTGGCTGCTTAAAAAATTGCTCTATCCGCTAGCCTTGAGCTGAAGAGCTGAGGGACAGTATCCAGGCCCAGAGTTCACGCCCCACGACTGGACCCAAAAAAAATAAAAAAATTAAAAAAGCTAAAAAAAAAAAAAAAATTGCTCTATCTTTCTGACCAAATGATTTTTGTTAAGTCATCGGTGTTTCTGTTTGGTCATATGGGGTAGCTGTTTATTGGTCCATATCTTACTTGCATGCAGTGGTGCATTTAATCAGTCTCTTCATGTTTTGCTCTCTTTCCGTTTCCCCAGAGTACTACAATTACCTTCTTTTCTCCTGATTGGTTTTTTACTTGTAATTTATTTACCCAAATTCTCAGCAAATTGAAATCTTCCCTTTAAGTGCCCTATTAAGTTCTTAAAAGTTCTTAGTGCCACCAAGTTTTTATACCTTCTTGTGGCCTCTGTTTCCTGTCACCCTCACCTGCTTTCTAATTGTCAAATTTGAATTGCTTACAACTAACTTGAAGGGATCATATCTTTGAGCATGTTAACTCATTTGCTCAGGGCTCCGGTGGTCAAACCTGTAATCCTAGATATTAAGGTTCTAAAGATTGTGATTTTAAGCCAGACAGGGCAGGAAAGTCCATGAAAAGCTCATCTCCAAATAACCACTAAAAAGCTGAAGTGGAGCTGTGGCTCAAGTGGTAGAGCACTACCCTTCATCAAAAAAGCTCAGGGAAAAGTATAGGCCCTGAGTTCGAGGCTCAGAATTGGAACACACACATACACACAGCTATATGTATACACACAGACACATATACATTTGTTTTCTTATCTATTAGAGTCCATCATTCTTCCCTTTTAATCTTAGAGGTTTTATTAGCTAGTGTCTGTTTCCATTTAGTACCTACAGTTCCTTCTATATGCAATATAAACCTTCTGAGAGATAGTTTGTTGTCATTTTATCTGTTTACTTTTATTTGAGCAGAAAACATGTCATGTTTCTTTTTATAGTTTTAGATTCTTTTTCTGTTTCTAAGAATTGATAGGGTATAGACTTAGGAACATAGCAATAGTGGGTACTAAGTACAATTAGTTGTTTTAACAGTTCTTTATCTCTTAGCATAAGTGGTAACAAAGGTTTCTAGGTTTTGAAGGAACTCTTTGCTCTTTACTTTGGTTATAGAAATTGGGAGTAGGGGACGTAGGAGAAAAATGAGGGAAGGGGTAAGAAGTTTGACAAGAAATATACGTATTACCTTACTTATGTAAGTGTAACGCCTCTGTACATCACCTTGATAATAATAAAAGATTTGAAGAAAAAAATAAAAAAATCAGTATGTTTTGGTATTTGCATGTAATATTCAGATAATTTGTATGGTTATTGACCATAATAATTACAGATTATCATTAGGCTTGGAAAATGACTTTATTGATTTAACTTGGTTATATTGTTTATATTCCTAATTTTCTTTGCATCTTTAAATATTTCGTGGAAATAATTTGGCTCATACTTTATCTTTCATTTTCATGCTACTATTGTCTATATCAGCTGCTCTTCATTTAAGTGGTATTTTTTACTAAGTTTTTATTGCTTAATTTTGTTATTTTCTATGAGTAACAAAAATTTTAGTTTTTTTTTAGAATCCGAGTTAGTTTGTCAGAATAGATTGATTTAATTTTTCAGAATATAGGGAAATAATATGCCTATAAATGTATATATGAAACACTTCAAGGCCTTTGAAAATGAAATGGTTTTACTGAAGAAAGTAAATACTGTTTGTGGGTACCAAGTAAGAAAGTAGAAGGAATACATTTTAAACTTGACTTTTTGACATGAAATGGTTACAGTTGAGTGAGTATGTACTCGAAAGGTACTGACATTTTCTTTTTCTTTTTTAAAGTATGATACATTTTTTCTCTTATGTCTTCTGGCACACTTCCAACTCCTACCTTAAACAATCTTAAGTTTTGACAGTAGAGGCATGCTGGTCAGATTTTAGTGTTTAGATATCAAATATAACAATTACTATATATTTCAACCAGCAGGAACTAAGACCCCCGTTGGTGTCTTAATCCAAAAAAGGCATTTTAAATTCATATAAACCCTGCCTTAAGGGATGGAAAAGAAGACAATTTTATGAACAGCATGAGGTTAAACATATTGATCAGTAGTCCAATAGTTCTCGCTACACTTTGGGTAGAATGTAGACAGAAAAATAACATTATCAACAACAGAGAATTCTTTGCTTCTCGAGAGAGAATCTGTTTTGCTATTTTTTTAATGGATTTTGAATCATGAAAGGTATGTTTTCAACCAGGGATAAAAAAAGTTCAAGAAGTTGTAGGATTGGAGTGTAAAATTCAACCAAAATGTTTTGTAATTTTTTTTGAAAAATAAGCTATATATTAAAGTTTTTAGTAAGCTATTTGTAATATATTTTGTGTTAAGAGACATAGCATACATTAATTCTCAATTTTTACCTAAGTAAGAGTACTGTTGCCTGGAAAATGAACGTCCGTAGCTCAATTACACAGTGTTCATTAAATGGTCTTTGATGACAGTAGTCCTATTAATTAGATTCAGGATGTTGTTGACTTTGAGGTCATTTGAAATTTCAGTCTCTTTTGATGAGGGGGATATAATTTTTATTGTCCTATTTTAGTCATTATCAATCTGATCAGATATTTATAGTATTCACCTAGGGTATGTTCAGTTTCTATTGTATATGTGTTGAATGGTATCACTAGGCCAGGCATTAATTTTTACTTGCATTTTTAATGGAGGCCTAACAATGTTTAATGTCTTGGCTTCTTTGCATCAGATCTGCCCCAAATAAGTGACAAAAAATTTCATTGAAACTGTATTTCCTCTATCATTTATAATTGACTAAATATTTCCTTACAATTTATTATGGCAATAGGTTTTTCTGTGTAGAAGATATTTGATAATACCTGTAACAAAACCTTGATTTCTTTTTTGTTTTTTTTTCTTTTTTTCTTTAATGTTGAGAGCAAAGTCTAAGCCTTACTATGTAATCTGTTGTAGGTAGCTTGTATGCAGCTCATAAATGCCCTTGTTACATCTCCTGATGATTTGGACTTCAGGCTTCACATCAGAAATGAATTTATGCGATGTGGATTGAAAGAGATATTGCCAGTAAGTGCCCTACAGCCTCCTTATTAATATTTAAATTAGTAGAGTACTTGACTAGGGGAAATTTAGATAAATTACCCTCAAGAATAATTTATCTGTAGGAAAAGACTAGAGTATAAAAACCTAGTTTTGAAATATAGATCATAAGATTTCAGTATTATTTAACACTTTAAATGTTTGAATTCAGTAAATCAAGTTGAATGGTTGGTTTATTGTTTATGGTACTCTTTTTTTGCATAATTAGAAACAAAATCTTTCATCATAATTTCTACTTAACATCTCTAGAGTTTAAAGCTTATTAAGAATGATGGCCTGGATATCCAACTAAAAGTCTTTGATGAGCATAAGGAAGAAGATTTGATTGAATTCTCTCATCGCCTTGAAGATATTAAAGCTGAACTTGAATATCCTTTTGTTCTGAGGCCTAGTCACAAGATATGCAGAGTTAATGCCAAATCCAAAACAATCATTCGTGTTCCACAAAATATGAAACCTACTTCTCTATAAATGTTATAAAATGAAAACTTTATGAATTAAAATGTTATCTAATTACTTTAATGTATATGCAAAAATAATGTATGCAAAGCAGTTATTCCACTTCTGAGCTATATCCCTAGAAGAATCAGGTTATATGTACTTATACAGTTTTTCTTACATTTGACACTTTGTCTACCACTCAATACTTTGCAACACAGGAAATTGTATAGCTCAATTTGGTTGCTGTCATTTCCCTGTACTTTGGGTATATACACATGTAGTCCTTTTATTAACACTGCATTTGCAAATGTCTATACTTCCTAAGAGCCACTTACTCCAGTCTTCAAGTAGTATTTTTCTACGATAATTGATATCTGCACCAGCAATCTTGGTGATGGTACTCTTATTATTCACCATGGTGTTCACAACCATCTACTCCCTATTCCTGTCTTCTAAAATACTTTTGGATTAGTTTAGTGAATATAAAAGAGAACTCAGAAATTGTCAGGTGAAGTTGCCACTTACAGAGTTTTTTCCTAGCTTCTGGCCTGGATATCTAGTTTGTTAAGACTTACAGGACAGAATCTGTGTCATATTATTATTGGTGTATGGTATAGACAGCTAAATCCATAGGTTCCTTAATTATCTTACTGAAGTATCTGATGTTTACAACATGGTGTGGAACACAGTTAAGGAAACTACTGCGGAGGGGTATTTTATTTCTATTCTTCAACATCTTTTGTTGATTCGAAATGACTATTTTATTAGGTAAGAGAAACTTATATTCTAATGTTTTCTTTTACTAATAAAACTCATAAAAGTTTGAAATGTACCTGATATTTTATTTGGATAAGCAAATAACATTTTAAGCAAAGAATTTTTATTTGTCATAATACTGATCTATAGCATGTTTTCTGTGGGCATACATTTCAGTGAATATTGATAAAATGATATCACTGTCATTTTTTAAGGACATCACGGTTACTTCCTAAGCTTCAGTGGATTCTTAGTTACAATCTTATCTCTGAATAAAAATGTGAACAAATCAAGCGGTTTATCCTGTGGAGGATAATATTTTTGGTCATTTCTTAGGCAGCAGGAATAATCTTGAAAGTGTTCTTACAAGTTATTTGTGGGACACTTAATATTATTTCCATTGCCATCTAAGTAGCAAGAAAATACCTTAATATAATGTATTTACTGTTTTTAATATGTTGGAAAGCTGTTCAAATGGATTTTTGGATTTCATTGTGTCTTGGCTATCTTAGGTTTCCAAATTGTGTTTATCATTTTCTACCTCATCTACATCATAATATAGCTATCTATATATGGATATGAGCATCTACCTCACTGAGGTATTATGGAGATTAATTATAGTAACATGGGTAAATCACCAAGCCAAATTCCTGGCACATAGTCTATGCTCAGAAGTACAAGCATTCTTCTTATCCTCTTTCCATTTTTATTACTGTTTCACAAGGTAAACTAAGATCTCTGACTATATAATCATTTTTGTTGCTACCAGTTTAACTTTGCTGAAATTCTGTTTTTAAATACTGTGAGTAGGTTTTCTTTTTCCCCATTCAATCTTATGAAATAGTGTGGGTTAGAAAAGCCTCATTCCAGCTATACAGCTCTGGGTGATGTCAGGGACTATAATGCAGTGGTGCTTGATGAACCTAACAGGACTGAAGAATGAGAAATTCAAATGCTGAAAATTTAGGTTTCAAGGAATAAGTTCATTTAACATTTTTTTCAGCTAAAAGTTATACTCATCTTCTAAAATAAGAGTTTAGTAATCTGTTTTGGTAGAAAATTAGCTGCTTTCTGATAATCTCCTTAAACTAAATTGACAGTTTAAATATTTAACTGCTTACTAAAATCTAGATTAAAAATACTAATTATTTAATTTTTTTTGTTGTTTTTGGTTGTGGGGCTTGACCTTGGCTTGGGCTGTGTCCCTGACCTCCTTGCTCAAGGCTAGTGCTCTACCATTTGAGCCACAGTGCCACTTCCAGTTTTTGAGTAGTTAATTGGAGATGAGTCTCATGGGGACTCTGCCCAGGCTAGCTTTAAATCACAATCCTCAGATCTCAGCCATCTGAGTAGCTAGGATTACAGACGTGAGCTTAATTATTTAAATCTTAAGATATTACTGTGGACCTGCTGATTGTAATACTATGTTTGGATTCCAAATTTACTTGAAAACAAAACTATAATATCAGTTTACTCTGAAATATCTCCCTCTAGATCTTTGACAGTTGTGTGACAGGTTGTTTAGACTTTGCTTGTTTTAATTTCCAAGAATTCAAGGGCATTTTAACATACAGTTTTTGTATATGTCCTTATGCTTCAGGGGTATATGTTATTATTACCCTAATTCCTGTGCCTGAGTTCAGGAAGGCATGACCTATTTCTAAATTTAGAATGCATTCAAAACCATGGATCCACCGGGCGCCAGTGGCTCATGCCTGTAATCCTAACTACTGAGGAGGCTGAGATTTGAGGATCACAGTTCAAAGCCAGCCCAGGCAGAAAAGTCCGTGAGACTCTATTTCCAATTAACCACTAGGAAACCGGAAGTGGTGCTGTGGCTCAAGCGGTAGAGCACTCTCCTTGAGTTGGAACACAGGGTTAGCGCCCAAGCCCAGAGTTCAAACCCCACGACCAACCAAAAAAAAAAGGCATGGATCCAATGATCCTGTCATTTTGTGTAAGACTGAGAAATTGTAGCTTTATAACAATCTCTTGTTTTTCCCATGTTCCAAGATTTCAGTTACTATTATTTATTTTCTGAAAGATTATACTTTTTTTTTTTTTTTATCAGTTGTGGGGCCTGAACTCTGGGCCTGGGCACTGTCCCTTCAGCTCAAGGTTAGCATGATACCACTGGAGCCATAGTGCCCCTTCCGACTTTTTCTGGTTATGTTGCGCTGAGGAATCAAACCCAGAGCTTTATTCATGCAAGGCAAGCACTCTACCACTGAACCACCTTTCCAGCCCTAAGATTATACTTTTATTACAAGGTAGTGTCAGAATTATGCTTTTACTTTTTTCTATTCATCCTTAAAATTGTAATTACAGTAATTTTCTTAGGGTTATATAGTTCTATAAGTGTCTTTCTTTGGGTGATAACTTTATTTTTTGGATTAATCTACTGCAGTTTCTGAAATTCACATTTAATTTTAGATCATCTAAGTTTTATCCTCTCCTTCCTCATCCATATTTGGCTTTGAACTCAGGGGCTTATGCTTGCTTAGCTTGTTTGCCTGACAGGTATTCTACCACTTGAACCACATGTTCAAACTGGATTTTTGCTGATTGTTGTTTTGAAATGAGGTCTCAGACTTTTCTGGAAGGCTGGGCTTCAAACTACAGTTCACAAAATTTTAGCTTACTGAGTAGCTAGGATTATGTGCCACAATTTATTTTCATACTTTTTTAAAAAAATCAAGGTCTTGCTGCTAACCTCTTTAGTACTGAGATTAAGATTTGAGACACCTTGCTAAGCTTAATGCCATTTTAAAATGCTACTGAAATGAACAGATGTAACTTCTTTTTTGGTAAATAATTAACTTTATACTCTGGCTTTATTCAAAGTGTCCTCATTATACAAATAGTGGGTAAAAAAATAGGATCCTTTTCAATTTTCACCTTTGGTGATTTAAAAAAAAGCTTAAATGTAATTGCTCTGGAGAAAGGTGTATCCACGACCTTAGGGAAAAAACAGGTTAGGAAGAAGCAGGAGAGGATTATAATGTACCAGGTGTAAAATGCCATGGTAGTTGAGTGTTCATGTGAGATAATTTCTGGTATTAAAAAATACTGTAGAGGAAATGAATATGATATTACAGCATCCTCCAGTGAAATAGCATTTTTTAATTTTTAATTAAATTTTTTTATTGTGAAAATATTGTACAGAGGGGTTACAGTTACATGAGCAAGATAATGAGTACATTTCTTATCCAGCATTGTTGCCTTCTCCTTTGTTTCTTCCCTACCATCCCTTCCCTCCCACCTCCTCAGCTACCCCCGCCACTGCCTAAATTGTACATCTCATTGTTGCAATGGGTCAATCTGTATCCCTATTTAAACAATTTGTTTTTCCCTTCTGCTCCCCAAATTATACCAACATCAAAAACAGTGAAAACAGGGGTTACACTGTGGGGGAGGGACATACAAAGCAACAAAAAAATCACATGGTACCTTATAAATACATTAGAAACAATAGCAAGGGAGAAAAAAACCACTTGTGTCCCTATCTTGGAGTTCATTTGCTTAATTTCATCTTATCTGGCCATAAGTATATAGCTTTTGAGTTTTTCTATTTGTTTCAGACATATACTAGTTATTACAAATAAGGGAAACCATGAGACCTATGTTTCTTTGGGCCTGGCTTACTTCACTTAATATAATTTTTTCCAAGCCTTTCCATTTCCTAAAAGATGGGTTGTTGTCATTCTTTCTGATAGAGGCATAGAATTCCATTGTGTATATATACTACATTTTCTTGATTCATTCATCTACTGAGGGGCATCTGGGTTGATTCCATATCTTAGCTATGGTAAATAATGCTGCAGTGAACATAGTTGTGCTGGTAGCTTTAGTATGGTCTTGTTTGTGATCATCTGGGTAAATGCCCAAAAGTGGGATTGCTTAGTGATAAGGGGAGCTCTATGTGGAGTCTTTTGAGGAACCTCCATACTGCTTTCCAAAGTGGTTGTACAAGTTTACTCTCCCACCAACAATGCAGTAGGGATCCCTTCTGGCCACATCTCCTCCAGCATCTGTTGTTATTAGAGTTCTTGATTATAGCTATTCTAACTGGGGTGAGGTGGCATCTCAGTGTTATTTGATTTGCATTTCTTTTACGGCTAGGGAGGTGGAGCATTTCTTCATGTGTCTATTGGCCATTCTTCTTTCCTTTTCAGAGAAGTTTCTCTTTAAGTCTTTAGCCCACTTATTTATTGGGTAGTTGTTTCTTTGAGGATTTGTTGTTGGGGGATTTAATTTTTGAAGTTCCAGATATATTTTAGATATGAGACCCTTGTCCATTATATGGCTAGTGAAGATCTTCTCCCAATCTGTGGGCTTTCTATTGATCTTGTTAGCTGTGTCCTTTGCCATGCAGAAGCTCTGTAATTTCATGCAATCCCATTTGTCCAATCTTTCTTTGATTTATTGTGTTTTTGAGTTTCTATTAAGAAAATTTGGACCTGTGCCAAGGAGACCTAGGAGTTCTCCTATTTTGTCCTGTAATGTTTTCAGGGTGTCTGCTTTGACTCCGAGGTCTTTGATCCATTTAGAGTTGATTCTGGTGCAGCATAATAGATAAGGATCTAGCTTTAGTTTTCTACAGGTGATTAACCAATTTTGCCAGGACCATTTACTGAAAAGGCTGTCTTTCTTCCATTCTATTTTTTTAGCTCCCTTATCGAAGATTGATGGCTATAGGTCTGTGGGTTTATTTCTGGGTTTTCAATTCTATTCCATTAGTCCTGATGTCTGTTCTTGTGCCAATACCAAGCTGTTTTGATTACTATGGCTTTGTAGTAGAGTTTCAAATTTGGTATTGATATTCTTCCAGCATTTTTCTTTCTGTTAAGGATCATGTTTGCTATTCGGGGTCTTTTATTGTTTCACATAAATTTTTGGATTGCCTCTTCTATTTCCTTGAAGAATGAGGTTGGAATATTGATAGGTATGGCATTGAATTTGTAGATAGCCTTGGGAAGTATTGCCATTTTCACGATGTTGATCCTTCCAAT